GCAGGTGCGAAAATACCAGAAGCAGCAAATTTCAGCTGCTGCAACAAAATTCCAATTTCTCCGTTGACCACCCGAAATCACCCCGAGGCCCCCGGGACCTCAACCAAAAGCACAAACATATCCTAATACTTTATTCAAACTTGTTCCAATCTTTCAAACACCTCAAACAACATCAAATCATCCAAAACACATCGGATTCAAGCCAAACTCTCAAAAATCTTCCGAATTTCGCTTTTGATCAAAAATCCAACCAAACCACATCCGAATAACCTAAAATTTTACACGCACATCCCAAATTCCACAACGGAACTACTGCAACTTCCGGAATCCATTCCGACCTCTATATCAAAATCTCACCTTACAACCGGAAAACGTTGAATCTCAATTTCGCCAATTCAAGCCTAAACCTACCACGGACCTCCAAAAATGCATTCCGATCACGCTCCTAAGTCCCAAATCACCTAACGAAGCTAACCAAATCATAAAATTTCCTATCCGAGATCATTTACAAACAAGCCAAATCATGGTCAAACCTTTCAAATTTTAAGCTTTAAACTGAGAACTGTTCTTCCCAATTCATTCTGATTAACTTGAAACCAAAACCAATGATTAACATAAGCCATAATACACCACATGGGGCAAGTCATGCCCGAGAACTAGCGAGCAAAGTGCAAAAGCTCAAAACGACCGGTCGGGTCGTTACAATATATCACATGTATAAGTTTGTATATCATGTTGGGTCGTCCTATATCGAGTATTCCCTTATGTTATATTTTGGTTATCTCATGACGGCCCTTCTTGCCCATTTACCTTTGATGGCATGATAAGAAAGATACGTTACGTTGGTACTCGATTGAGTAAAGCACTGGATGCTTGTCGCGGCCCTACAATTTGGGTCGTGACATTTTCCTTGGGACTTGGAATTATGAAAAATATTACAAGCCAACAAGTAATTAAACTCAAATCCTAATACCCCAAACCTATTATGCTAATCCTATTGAAACTAAATTATTTCCAGCATACTCACTAGCAAGACACAAGGTATTCTAGCGATTATGAGTAGCAAACTATAGCGTATTGAATATGTTTCCTTTTGTATGATTTAGATTTATCTTTTTGAATATTTAATTTTCTATAGACTTCTTTAGTCCCAGCTAGTTCGTATCTTTTTACTCGTGGAATTTATATTTTCTTTGTTTTTGCTTAGTTTCTTTTATGTTGCTGTAGTTGATGGATCTATATTATGCCATCTTTTATGTTTGCTAAGTTCTATAAAAGTACATTTGTTATTGCATTCTACTTCTAGTAGTGACTTTTATATGATATTTAAAAAAATACCGAAAATTAACCGTACTGATACCGAAGAGAAATCGATAGGATTGAGACGGTTTCGAAAAATCTACTTTTGATTATACAAAATAGAATAATATAATATAAAATTTATAAAATAACGAGTAGAATCGAACCATTGACGCCCCCGGTACTAAACAACGCACAGCTAGCGTAAGTCTTGGAAGTAGTAAAGGCAAAAAATTTCTCTCTTTACAATTGAAAATTTAGGTGGGAACAGCAACACAACAAACAGAAAAATGACAAAACGACCAGAAGCAAATAATTTGCCCCCACGCAGGATCGAACTGCGGACCTTCAGTTTACAAGACTGACGCTCTACCACTGAGCTATAGGGGCTTGGTTGACAGTTTTTTTTTAATTACATTATAATTGTGAGTAGGGGTGTTCATAAAAACCCGAAAAATCGAACCAAACCGAAAACCAAACCAAACCGACCAAAAAAAACGTTACTTTTTGGTTTGGTTTGGTTTTGGTTTTGAATTTTAAAAACCGATCAAATTTGGTTTGGTTTTGGTTTTAATCAGAAAAAAACCGAAAAAGACAGAACCAAACCGACTATAGGAGTAGCTGTTTCAAATTTATTATTACACCTATATATATGTATATTTTTATACAAAGTTTCAAAGAATTTATGATAAATGTTAATAGTTTGCACTTTTAGTATAGTTCTTTACCTTTACATTCTAGTTTGATTGGTACTTTTCTTTTGTTAAGTGTAAGAATCAATTTCGTGTTAAAAATAATATATTTTTAATTGAGTCCTTAAATGATTCATCACCATTTGATTCAATTATCATCAATATATCTTGGTAAATAATAGATTTCTCAAAGGGCAATTGATGTAATAGTGTTACGTTGAAAATGTGGTCGTCGGAATATGTGTTTGGTAGTGAATGTCTTATATTTAAGAAAAAACCGATAAATAATCGAAAAACCGACAAAATCCGACATAAAGCGAATCGAGAAAAAACTGACTTAATTGGTTTGGTTTGGTTCTAATATTTAAAAAACCGACTTACTTCGTTTGGTTTCTTTTTAGGGAAAAACCGATCCAAATCGAATCATGAATTCTTTTGTTAAGTGTAAGAATCCATTTCGTGTTAAAAATAATATATTTTTAATTGAGTCTTTAAATTATTCATCACTATTTGATTTTATTATCATCAATATATCTTGGTAAATAATAGATTTCTCAAAGGGCAATTGATTTGATAGTGTTACGTAAATGTGGTCGCCGAAATATGTGTTTGGTAGTGTATGTCTTATATTTAAGAAAAAACCAACAAATAACAGAAAAAACCGAAAAACCGACAAAATCCGACATAAACCGAATCGAGAAAAAACCGACTTAATTGGTTTGGTTTGGTTCTTATATTTGAAAAACCGACTTACTTGGTTTGGTTTCTTTTTAGGGAAAAATCGATCTAAATCGAACCATGAACACCCTTAATTGTGAGCATGTGATTTTTGCCCTATACGAATCTATATATAATATAAAGCTAGGCATATACAAGATGATGTGGCACCTTTCTATGGCCAGCATTCTTATTTATCTTTTTTCTCAAATTTTTCCATTTTTTCCCTTCAGTTCTCTATATAAACTATCTACTAATTATATTTATGCATTAACAAAATAAATGTTCCTTGGCAATAAAGCCCAGTAACCACCTAATTGAGTTAAAGCCCGCGTTCTAAAATTTATGATACACAAATGTGCAACGTTGATAGAAACTGAAAAATTACTTTAATTCCCAAAGACTCACATTAAATACTCTTATTGCTATTTTATGCAAATTAATTTTTATTTTTCTTGGTGTTTCAGGGAATAAAAGAGAAATAGGTCAAGAGTACGTCCTTCTTATCTTATAAGAAAGACTACTAAGGTATTTGGCACTCCAAAGAGGATCATTCAGTCCAGAAATCATGATAATGATAACATGCAGATAAAGCAATCCTAGCAGTTATACCGCCTTTTTTAATTTTATTTTTGATTGAATTATAGTATATTATTTCGCTTAAATTTATTTGATTTGTTATCTTTTCAATCATGAATTCATAATACATAAAATAGCAAGTGGGAACAACTGAAAACTTTCTTGAACGTGGAAGGAATTAGGAAGTCCAATTTATTGTGAGGGTGACAAAATTACAAATACTTTCTAATTCTCTTTTAAGAACCTTCACTTCGAGTAGATTCATATTTTTTTTACCCTTCCATTTTTATATTCGATTTTATTTTAAAAACTCAGATCAATAATACTTTATATATATCTTTAGTCACATACACTATTATGCTTCGCTCTCTTAGGTTACCTTTCTTTATTATACCTTTGAGTCTCTTTGGTTACATACTCTCTTTACTTTTGAAAAGTTAAGAGGAAAAAAAGGAGACTTGACTTTTTATTTCTTGAAAAATGAACAGGTAATGAGTAAAAAAGGAAAACGGAAGAAGGAAGAAATAGAAGAAAAAGGTAAATGAAATGGAAAAGGAATGGCAAAAAATTAGAGAAAATATTCATAGAATTTGATTCAATTGATTCAGCGTTGAAATCAGTTTTACTTTTCATTTTTCCCTTTATTCTATGTTATTATTGTTGTCGTCATCCTTTTGTCTATATATCTCTTTAGCCAGCAATATTATTTATCTTTCTTCCCTATTTTTTGGCTTTATCTCAGTAATTAATATAATATTTACACATTAATGACATTAATTTGATATCAGTCCCTATAATAATTGGTACGTTTTTTTTGTTTCAACGGCTGTTACGGTTTCAAAACGGCCAAAAAATTAATAGCCGTAACACTTCCAACCTTTTATATTTCTTATTTATGGAGAAAAATGACATCATTACACTTGCCAAACACCATGTCCTGTTGAAAAATACACGAAATACAACATGAAAAGTTATGTATCTGAGTTTTCAATATTCTTTCTTTTTTTTAAAAAAAATTTATTTATGAATAAGCAGTGGATACAGTGAACTTCTTGAAAATCCGATTCGGGCGGATTCTTCCCCCAACTAACGAAGAGATCTTGGCGGAATTGCCACATATGAAATTAAGCACAGTTTTGCAAAGAAATAGCCCACTTGTTTCTCGAGAAGGTTTAATTATGAGATATTCATGTTACGTTTTCTATTGTTTGGCTCCTTTTTTTTCCTTCTGAATTTGTAAAATGTTTGGGAGAATGGTCAATGAGTTTAAGGATGAAGAAGAATTTAAAGGAGTAGAGTAGGGGTTAGTAAGGGCTCTTTGTTGAATTACTAAAGAACTAATAGCGGAGTCATTTTTACCCCTAAAATTTAAAATATGAGTCGAAAGAAGGAATTGAAAACATTGTAAAGAAGAGAAAATCACAGAGGACCATGAGCTCGAGTTTGAGCTGCCATGGAGAAGGAGCAAAAGCTTCGAGATAGAGAGAGCTGAAAGAGGGGAACTTCTGGAAAAGGAATTCTATATTATTTGTTCATCAAAACGAGTACACATATACATGAGTGGGGTCCTCCACTTACAACATTGACCACTAACTAAATGCCAACTAACTGACAGCTAAGCTAAACTAACATTTAACTAATAAGTAGCTGAGCTAAGCTAACTAACAGTGAGGGAGAAATATAAATAAAATGCACATAGCTCAACACCCCCCCTCAAGTTGGAGGTGAGGTCTTCACAGCCAACTTGCCTAACACAGTGGAATGCTTGATGCCAGTTAGAGCCTTGGTGAGAATGTCTGCCAGTTGATTGTGAGTGCCAATATGATGCAAGGATATAAGACCCTCTTGAAGTTTATCCCGTACAAAGTGACAGTCAACCTCGATGTGTTTGGTCCGCTCGTGGATAATAGGGTTCCTAGCAATGTGTAAGGCGGATTGGCTATCACAATATACACTCACAGGTGTAGGAAAAGAAACAGTCAGCTCCTCAAACAATCTGCACAACCAAGTCAATTCACCAACTACCTTTCGAAGAGATCTATATTCAGCTTCAGCGGAGGAGAGTGAGATAATTTCTTGTTTCTTAGACTTCCAACTAATAGGACTAGTACCAAGTAGCACCAAGTAACNAGTCATACCATGAAAGTCTGGGAGAGGGTGGTGGAAATGAGGATAAGGAGGGCGGTGTCTATATCGGAAAACCAGTTCGGGTTCATGCCGGGCCGTTCTATTACGGAAGCTATCCACCTTATCAGGAGGTTGGTGGAACTATATAGGGATAGGAAGAGGGATTTGCATATGGTGTTTATTGACCTAGAGAAGCCATATGACAAGGTCCCTAGGGACGTCCTTTGGAGGTGTCTGGAGGTGAAAGCTGTGCCGGTGGCTTACATTAGGGCGATAAAGGATATGTATGATGGAGCTATGGCTCGGGTTAGGACTGTGGGAGGTGACTCAGAGCCTTTTCCGGTGGTTATGGGATTACACCGAGGATCTACGCTCAGCCCGTTCTTATTTGCTCTGGCGATGGACGCACTGACACACGATATCCGAGGAGAGGTGTCATGGTGTATGTTGTTCGCTGATGATATAGTTCTGATTGATGAGATGCGAGGCGGCGTTAATGGGAGACTGGAGGTATGGAGGCAGACTCTAGAGTCTAAAGGTTTCAAGTTGAGTAGGACTAAGACAGAATATGTGGAATGTAAGTTCAGCAACGTGACGGGGGAAGCGGATGTAGAAGTTAGGCTTGACTCACAGGTCATCCCCAAGAGAGAAAGTTTTAAGTACTTAGGGTCAATTATCTAGGGAGATGGGGAGATCGATGGGGATGTTACGCACCGTATAGGAGTAGGGTGGATGAAATGGAGGTTGGCGTCTGGAGTCCTGTGTGACAAGAACGTGCCACCGAAACTCAAAGGTAAGTTCTATAAAGCGGTGGTTAGACCGGCCATGTTGTATGGAGCTGAGTGTTGGCCAGTCAAGAATTCACATATCCAAAAGATGAAAGTAGCAGAAATGAGGATGTTGAGATGGATGTGTGGGCACACTAGGCTGGATAAGATTCGGAATGAAGATATTCGGGAGAGGGTGGGCGTGGCTCCCGTGGACGATAAGATGCGGGAAGCGCGGCTTAGATGGTTCGAACACATGTGGAGAAGAAGCCTAGATGCACCGGTTAGGAGGTGTGAGCGGTTGACCTTGGCAGGTACGAGAAGAGGCAGAGGGCGGCCTAGGAAGTATAGGGGCGAGGTGATCAGGCAGGACATGGCGCGACTTCAGATTTCCGAGGACATGGCTCTTGATAGGAACATGTGGAGGTCGAGCATTAGGATGGTAGGCTAGGGGGTAGTCGAGAGTTCTTCCCTCTTGGTACCGGGGAGTCTGTTAGAGTTTCGTTAGGTTTGTTAGCGGTCTTTGTTGTATTCACATTGGTGTTTTGCATAGTTTTGTCTTATTGTCCTTTCACTTATTTGATTGGGTTATTTTCTTTCTGGTATCTTTTATTGTTACATGTCTTTTCTCTTATTTCTTTTCTGATATTACTGCCTTTCCTGTTGAGCCAAGAGTCTCCTGAAAACAGCCTCTATGCCCTTTTCGGGGTAGGGGTAAGGTCTGCGTACACTCTACTCTCCCCAGACCCCACTAGTGAGATTTTACTGGGTATGTTGTTGTTGTTGTTGTTGTTTCAAATCTCAAATACAAATATAATTCTTTTGAAGAGCACCTAATCTACGCAGGCACCTTCTAGGAAGGGTTATGTTTGAACTAGGCCTCTTAGGCCTCATTTGTTTGCACTTAATGGATGTCGGAATCTTAATCTTCAAATCTCAGACATTAAGTGTGTTTGTTTTTAAAGTCTGAATCTTAATTATTCAGATCTTAATCATTAAGTGTGTTTGTTGTTTTTACTTCACAACCACTTAATGGGTATGATAGGTCTGTATGATTAAGTTCTACAAGAGAGACTTAATTTCATTAAGATGCTATCACATATTTATTATTAACTGCCGCAACCGCCTACAATTATTAGCTACCACCATGCCACCACCACCACCATACTCAACCACCACCACCACCTCACCACCACCACGCCACTATCATCCTCAATCATAGCCGCCACCATTATCGACCGTCACCACCCACTATCCCCACCACTCCGACCACCACCATTCTCGCCCACAATCAACACTCATCCACCTCAACTACCACAACTGACCACCCCATCACCATCAACAACCACAGCCGGCACTGCCCATCATTATAACCTACCACCACCCACCCACTACCTTCCTCAGTCACAACTACTACCACCACCCGCCATTATTAACTATCACCACCACTAACACCATAATCATAATCGCCACCACTACCAATCACTACTAGCTACTAGCATGAACCACCATCATCATCCAAAACTACCACCAACCAGCGCCTCTAGTCGGCATTCAACCGTTAGCCATCACCACCAACAACTATCATATTCTAAAAAAACTATATATTTTATTGATAGAAATATTAGATTAGTTAGTATTTCATTTGAATTTTATGTTTATTAATTTTTAAATAAAGATAAATTTTATACATTCAGATGTTAAAAATCAAACAGTCTTAATTATTTAGTATTCAGATCTTAATACACATCTTAATATATTCAGATTCGGATGTCTTAATCTTATTACACATCTTGATATTCAGATGTGTATTCAGATTCAGACATCTTAATCTTAAAATAATAAATGAGGCCTTAGTAGCCAATTACAAATTATCATACTAATTTATAGTAGAAAATAGGGCCAAAGTATAATTTAATAAACTTAGGGGTTATATTAAAAGTTTAGNCATGAAGATTTTCAATCTTCCAATCATTTGTAGTCTCAATATGATAGTCATTTGTATTAGTAAACTTCAGGTTTACTACAACATATGTTTTGACCATAATCATATAATATGAATGACATATTTGTACATAAACTCTTCGAGAGCCTTCATTAATTATCCACAATTTAATATTTATCAGACACTACTGGTGTCATGTGTCTTCTAGACAAACAGTTAGCTCTTCAGGAGTTGTTGATAAATTATGTACTACCAAATAGTGCTCAGACACTTCTGGTGTCATGAGAGAAAATCATAATCAAATTAACAATATATAGATAATTCTAAATTTATAAATATAAGAAATTAAGAATTTCAGTATTTTTTACCACCAACTTTGTGACAAATATCTCCTTCAGGGAGAAACTCCATTAACATCTGAATATTTTATATCAAAGCGGCAACCACATAGTCATTACATCCTTCAGGGAAAGATACATAAGTTGTTATTTCCTTCGGGGAACTCGATAACTAACCATAACATATTAATGTGGTTGTAGTAGAAAGCATTCTACAAGAATACTTTTTCCTTGGAATGATATTTAATAAAATTTTCCAAGATATTTTACGTACAACGGGTACGTGCGACAATGATTTTTATGCCACAAAAACAAGATTTATATCCTTTGTTATTCTACCTCTTCTACAAAGGTACCCGAGCATGAAGGGCTCCTATGAGGACATGAGTTGTGGTATTTCTTCATTCACTCCAGGGAATGAAAATATGCGTCAAGAATAACTTTGAATAGCTTATTATTTTGTTTAAGCACAGAGAGACACAATTTCATAATATTTTCTTGCTTCAGGAGAGAATGTCAATTGTGTTACTTCTTCAGGAGTAAATTTAAAATACGAAAAAATGAGTATATATTCTCTCAATCATATTACCTCTTCTGGAGGTGAATTGTAATATATTCATATCAAAAGCGCGTTCATATTTACGAGCTTTATTAATATTGTCACATTCACTTCGGGGAATGGATTAATATTTATCAAAAGTTCTCATCCTTCAGGAAACAGAAGATAATTATCTGAACGTGCATTAATCACACCAAACCGTGTGATGCTTCAACCTCTTTTAAGATAATGCTACTTTGGGAGCAAATCGAGGCATGCAAGTAATATAGAGAAATTTTCTCTAGCTTATCTTCAATTGTAACCATTGAAAGCCTAAATTATCACTTCTGGTGGTTATAGGCACATACCACTTCTGGTGGTTAACAAAATTTAGTTACAATGAGATATACAAAACATAACCACTTCTGGTGGTTATATATTTCTTGCAAACTCTGCTGGAGTTTAAGTGGATCTAACAATGTTATCCACTTTATAATCCTTTATTAAGATAATAAGGATGAAAACTAATACCAAAATAGGTACTGTATACGTGGCATATAACCAAGCAAGCGATGATAAAGATATTAAACAAAATATAAACAAAAAACTCAAATTACTTTACACAAATTTGGCCGCTCCAGACGTAAGTGATATCCACATCACTATTGCCACGGAGAAAAGCTCATCACCTCAAGGATATAACCTGCCTTATGATGCTCGGAGTGAACAAGATCTAACCACGGACGTAAGAGTGTCGCCTTACATCAGAGATGAACACTGAAATAGAAATTAAATTCGAAGTAAGTGCTCAAAATGGCAGTGTCTCGTGCTGATAACGTATTATAAAATAAAGACTTTAAAGTAAAGAAATCAAACAAGTATAGAGAGAGAGAGAGATTGATATTATTCAACTTCAAACGGATGTACATAATGAACTGAAATCTCTTCTATTTATAGAAGAAAGGAAGCTGTTGTGTAAGCTACTACAAGCTGTTGTGTAAGCTGCTACTACAAGCTGCTGTGTAAGCTGCTGTGTAAGCTACTTGTAAGTTGCTTGTAAGCTGCTTCTGTACCAGATATAGATAATCTTCTGCCGGGGGTAATCTTTATCCATAACGGAGGACCGAAATGATAAGCTTCTTCAGGAAGCTTATTTATGACGGAGTACTAAATGAACATCCATAATATAATATATATTTATAACAAATTAAATATTGGAGGAAGGTAAATGAAACGGTTTTGAACTGAAAATATTGGAAAAAGAAAATAGATGTGGAAGAAGAAGATGTATACGAAAAGACACTCTCTTCTTGTTAATCAGTGACGTCAACAATATGTAAGAGTTAATCCTCCCAAGTCCATATTATTAGCACAATTCACATTTTTTAATGATTTCATTGCAAAACAATTAAGATGTTGTTTATTTTCTTTAACTCGGCCTTAAATCTTTTAGCTAGTCGCAATTTGCGAGAAACAATTAACAGATAGGTGATGTGAGTATGGCTGTCCAACGGGACGGGACGAAATTAACGGGACGGGACGGGACGACATTTAAGCGGGACGAAACGGGACGGGACAAACGGGACGAAACGGTCGGCCCATCCCGTCCCGCTAACAAACGGGATGGGACGGGACCGGTTCGTAGGCCTTAAGTGTATTTTTTTTTTAAAAAAAAAAACGTCTAGTTTTTGAAAATTACTATGTTTTTAAAGTTTGCAACGGCTAGATTTTTGACTTATTTATTAAATGTTAAAACGAAAATTAGAAAACTAAGTAAAGAATTATAAAATATTAAAACAAAAGACGTGTAATGAAATATTCTAGTAGTTATAAATTTATAATAGAGTTATAATTTATTTAATATAATTTCAAAGTATTAAGTAACTAAGACAATTCATAAAAAAAATTCAACGCTTAGAGCCTTTTATTTTATTAATAGAACTGGGGGGCAAAGGTGGGGATAAGAAGTTATTTCGATTGGCCAAAGCGAGAGAGAAGAAGGCTCGCGATCTGGATCAAGTGAGGTGTATCAAAGACGAGGACGGTTGAGTATTGATGGAAGAGGCCCAGATTAGGCAAAGATGGCAGTCGTACTTTCATAACCTTCTGAATGAAGAGGGAGATTGAAACATCGTGTTATGGCAATTGGGGCACTCTGAGAGTCACTGAGACTTTAGGTATTGTAGGCGCATTAAGGTTGTGGAGGTCGTGGGTGCGATGGGTAAGATGAGTCGGGGCAAAGCGACCGGACCTGACGAGATCCCAGTAGAGTTTTGGTGGGTGTTCATAAAAACCCGAAAAACCGAACCAAACCAAAAACCAAACCAAACCGACCAAAAAAACCGATACTTTTTGGTTTGGTTTGGTTTTGGGTTTGAAATTTAAAAACCGATCAAATTTGGTTTGGTTTTGGTTTTAATCAGAAAAAAACCGAACCAAACCGACTATAGAGTAACTATTTAAAATTTATTATTACACCTATATATATATATATATATATATATATATATATATATATATATATATATATATATATATATATATATATATATATATATATATATATATATATGTATGTATGT